CTTGCTTAAACTCACTATTGGCAGTTGTATGCCATTTTCTGTGTTGCCCATGCACTACTATAGTCTGCAGGGCAGACAAGATGCTCTTCGTGTGGCAGTACTCAATATTGAAGATGTAAAAACTTGCCAATAAGGCGATAATTGCATCAAAACAACTGTTGCTTGTTATGGAACTTTCATCCTTTCCCTCGATAACGTATGATTGACAGTTTCTAGTCGTATTCTAGTTCGCTGCCAACGGCCACAATATGGGTTGTGATAAGTTTGAAATTGTATCATTTGCATCTTCGGACTCCTACAAAGAAAATACAATTAGAATGTATGCAATAATCCGCAATTACAGAGGGTTATAGGACACATAAGATATAAGGTCTCACCAAGAAACCCAATAATAAAGCTCTTACATACATCAGACACAAAATACCTGAAAAAGTATATCACACCCGACCCCTATAACCCTTCCAAAAGCATTAAATGTAACATACCAATATACAGTAATATTTTGAAATATCAAAATATATGCTGCCTCGCAACAAACTCTCCTAAAAATAAGCTGACTATAAGCACACAAATATTATTCAAATTTACAGTATACTGTATCATAAGAAAAATAAATACAAAATTGGAAACATGAATTTCCATAGCCTGGTACAAGTGATTCAAGGAGACTGCATAAAAACATAATACATGATATACATAACTATACGATCTTATTTAACCCATTAAGCACCTGGGCTCTCCCCTTTACGAGTAGAATAGGCGTTCGACAGAGTAGAGTAATAAAGTTCAAAATCATTTTGTTTGAATTACTTCACCTATCTATTTGTTTAAAATTATGTATGGTAGATTCTGTAGTATGAACACTGGCAAAATTACTCAAAAAAATTAAAAATATAATGTGACATTATGTTGCCTTGACAACACTTGACACAACGTGAGCCTGTGTTCAGTGCTGGCCAATTGCTAATAGTTCATGTTAAATCAATGTTTGGAAAATATAGGCTAGGGGTTGCTGCATGCATTTATTTCTAGTTAAATATTAATTGGACATACTCATGTCACTATTGGTATTCATTATATCTTGGTCAGACAAAACAAATTCCATATTTAAGAAGTTTGGCAACCCACAGGTTAAAATAGACATCTTGTGAATTATGTCACAAATGATTAATAAATTTTTGCTGCAGCAAGCAGATTCACCAGAAACATGTAACCTCATGAGTTCACACACCCCAAAACAATACTTTCCTAAAATGACAGCATTCCTTCATCATTTAATTTTATAACTGGACTTAGCTGATCTGTTTTTATAGTTTTTATATTTTTAGACTTTTCGTTATTCAAGTTTGAAATGAGACCAAGACTGGTAGCGTTTAATTTTGACAATTTAAGAGAATGTAGTTCTGCATTACTGTTTTTCTCTGTATCTCATGCTTAATAAGCCTACCATTTTTAAATTTCAAATGTACAACAGATACTTTGGGCTATTTATTGCCTCTTTCTTTCCTCTTCTATATATTAATAGTTTTTCTTTGGAAAATATCAGTAATCATACTTCTAATCTGTACAGTTCTGTTCCTACACAACATCTTCGCACCCACACATCGTGTTTAGGACTGAAGTTCCAGATCGTGGAAATGCTCTGCCAACAGCCCTGCGGGTTCCCAAAGAGTGTATAGCCCATGTATATCATTAGTACAAACCATAGAAATAAAATTAAAACAATATATTTCCATTTCAAATGCTTTTTCATTAATGTACAATAACTAGGGAATTTTATGTAAAGTGCAATTCTACATTCTCTTCGATTGACTTGAATATGTTTTTGGCTAGCATTTATTTGATGTAGCTACAACAAATCCACTAAGTTTCAATTATTACAGAAATGATTGCACAAGTCATGAGTTTTGACAAATGTTGATCTATATTTTCAATATTAACCCCATTAAGCACCAGCGTTCTCCTCTCGAGACAGAGTAAAAAAAATAAAGTAGGCCGCAATGCGACTCAATGGGTTAACTATAAACATGGGCAAATAGGCCAGTTAAGCCATTAAAAATAATAGTTGGTTTCAGGTTTGACAGCCATGTTTATATGGGTAGGTAGGTCGGAAAAATATTTTATAATTTTTAAAAAATATTTTATCTCAAGTATGCAATAAATATAAGTTAAAACTCATTGTCATAACTGTCACGTGTGATCAAACGTGCCACGCGGGATCACCCGCGAGCTACATGTGTTTTGCGAGAAACAAACGCATCAAGGCGTTTTCGTCTTTTTTCAGCCGTAGCTGCCATGTCAGAATAATGTACCTTTTATTCACCTATTTGTGTAAAACTATGATTAACATGACTAGATAATGATTAAATTATAATCAAACAAAATAATTTGTAGACAAATGAGTCTGATGACTATTTATGTATTCTGCTATTTACGAAAAGATTATCTCTACTGGGAAATGTCATTAAAATGTTTATGGTCGGTCATATTTTTGAAAGGTCGGTCGGAAACCTGAAACCAACTATTACTTTTATTTGGCCTAACCCATTAAGCACCAGCGCCCTTACCTTGACGAGTAAGATCATCTGGTGTTAGACAGAGTAAAATAATAAATTAGGGCACAATGCGTTAACAACACACATGGGCAGATAGGCCAGTTAACCCATTAAGTACCGGTGCTCTCCCCTTAATTAATGAGTGAAATTGTCTGGCGTTAGAAAGAGTAAAATAATAAATTAGGGCGCAATGCGACTCAATGGGTTAACTAGACACATGGGCAGATAGGCCAGTTAACACATTAAGCGGCAGCGCTCTGCCCTTAATGAGTAAAATTGTCCTGCGATAGGCAGAGTAAAATAATAAATTAGGCCGCATTAGGGCACAATGCGACTCAATGGGTTAACTGTAAACATGGGCAGATAGGCTAGTTAACACATTAACCGCCAGTGCTCTCCCCTTGATGAGTAAAATTGCCTAGCGTTAGATAACCAGAGTAAAATAATAAATACTTAGTGCGCATCAGGGCGCAATGCGACTCATTGGGTTATTAACATCAACAATGTTTCAAATGTCAAATCTGCCATGCTCAATATAATCATAGATTTGACTATTATTTGACATGTATAAAGTCAGATGTCCTGTATACAACAACATCATCAATATACTATTAAATCAATCAGCCACAAAATTGTCAATCGTGTATTATTCTCGGCCTAAAAGCTAAACCTATTAATCCTAGTTGGTGTTTAGTTTGGCTTTTGCTGCTACTGAAACGACTTTTATATAATTATGTGATTATAGCTCGGAATTACAGTGGGTTCTGCATAAGATTTTATCTGGATTCGATGTTTCACTATTTAGTATCGAGTAAAATCAACAAATAATTATGGATCAAACGAGGATGAGAGTATTTGAATTAAGTTGAAACATAGTTGGAACACTCATCAAAGCTTTAATAATATTTTGTTCATGTGGAACTTGAAATGTCCTTTGTGTATTTATAAGCAATTCATGCATGACTTTCATCCTCATTTGACCGAGGCTATAATCTAAAATACCAGTTTAAAAACTTACATTATCAAATGAACCAGTGCCAGTATGCCTGATTCAGGAGATGATTCTTGATTGGGAAAGGTTAAACTAGACTGGGCTATTGATATGTCGCAGGATTTGAGCTAGTAGTGAACTGGATATTTCAATGTTGTTTGCACTTTTTTCATTGTCGCTGTCACTTTCAACTAGAACCTACATATACAAAAAATAAATAATCTTACATTAAAACGTGTTTCGTATCGTAAACGTGAAGCTATAAGAACATATTTTGAATAATTGATGTCCGCTGTCGTGATTTGGCCATCAGCAAACAACAGTCTTCGACACGAAGGTAAAGAAAGTAAATAACATTTGCCAGAATTAGGCTAGTACAGCACGAGACGTTTCTTGAACGTATTTTCCTAATAAATTGTTTATTTGTCCAGAATATACTGCAACAAACGAGGTTTTACGCTTGTATTTTATCCGTATCCCTCGTCGAAGCAAATCCCAACGGCTAACGTTCGATAATGGCGCCAAAAGTTAGTACGCATGCTCGAGAATGATCGCAAACCCGATTGCTTACGGGCGCGTGCATTTTCGTTCCCAGTTCCCGCGATCATTAATATTACACCTAGACCTTCAATTCTCGTGATTAATTTTTACAAATACCGTATTTATATTTACGATAAAATTACTAAAAATCTGGAAAACAAATTTCAATACCCTACAAAATGAAACATCAAATCTCACCTTGTATAATTCAAAAAACGTCCTCTTCTTTTTCTTTGCGACTGCGAGCATGTGCATTAATTCTTTACGTTTTATGCGGAAGTTAATTTGATACGATATACGACGGACGATCGACACAATTAAGAGTCGATTTGACAGAAGGGCCGATTTGACAGAATTAAGACTGTCGGTTTGACGGAAGGGTCGATTTGACACAATATTAATAGTCGATTTGACACAATTAAGAGTCGAATTGACACATTTACGAGTCGATTTGACAGAAGGACTGATTTGACACCTTTAAGAGTCGATTTGACAAAAGGGTCAATTTGACACAATTAAGAGTCGATTTGACAGAAGGGTCGATTTGACACATTTAAGAGTCGATTTGACAGAAGGGTCGATTTGACACAATTAAGAGTCGATTTGACAGAAGGGTCGTTTCGACAAAAGGGTCGATTTCATTCCAGGGTCGATTTGACCTATGCGAGAGTCGTTCCGCGATGGAGAGCCGAAACGAAGCTC